AGAATGTTGGAGGACTAATTGTTACTATTTCCCTTTTAGTAAAACTTTTGTCATGTTCCATATTCATTCCCCAGTTTTCTTGTAACTGACAAACACCATGAATCATTCTATTTGTTGAATGTTACGAGCACATGAAATATTAAATCATCTTTATTTGTATTTTATTTACAAACCTTTACTTTCAATCACTCCCTCAAAGGCTTAGTTTAAATCACCACATTCTGTCTTCTTTGTACTCACATTCATAGTCCACTTCAATCAGGTTATACAATTGATTCCTACTGCGCATGCCACTCTAATGCTATTTCTATGTTATTCCTCTTCTCACAGAATGTAGTCTTCACCTTTTTCAGGTCTCTATTCCCTCAAATCCCAAGCTTTGTTCCATAATATCATGAAGTTTACTTCAATCACTTAATTTCTAAATGGGTTCTCTTATAATAGTAAGCTTTATATTAGCCTATTATTTATTAAAGACTTATTGTCTTCTAGATACTGTTCAAAGTACTTTACAAAAATTATTTCATGTAATATTCAAAACAGCCCAGCAGGTAGGTATTATTATTTAATATTTAGTGGAGCTAAAAGCATTATAGAGTTTTCAAGTGAAGCAGCTAATAAGACAAAGAGAAGAGGGACATGCAAACTTATGTCTATTTAACTGCATTTTGTCACAAGATTTCCCTGGATGCTGAGTAACAGAAATTGCAACCAGAGCAGGTTAGACTACTCCTGGGGAAGAAGAAAGTGTGCAATTTGTAAAAGTTTTCCATGAAACAAGACAGCCCCAAACACCTAAAACTGCTACCCTGTGAATATATTGCTTGTCTCACATCTGAACTTTGATACTGTCCAAATTTGCTCCATAATTATACTGAAATTTAAGTCTTGGGAGGGTACATATTATTATTCCATTTTCTCGATTTTTTATATTCTCTTTTTTGTGCTAGATGTGTCTTCTGCCTTGTGTTTCAGATCTGTCCATATTAATAAGACCATAGAATTATTCTTTTGTTTGAGCACTGAAAACAATGTTAGTCATCATTGTCTAAGAGGAGTTCTATACTAGCTAAAATTTTCAAGTGGGAGTATAAGTAGGAAACTTATCATTGACAACGTAAAACTCAGAAGTACAACAGCCTACAGAGTCCAAACTCTGGAGTGGCTATCTAGGCTCAAAATCTGGCACTGTTTATTAACTGTGTTACTTTAGGCTTGTTTTTTTCCAATCTTCCCCCAGTGATTTGGACTATACTCAGAAGCTTGTACTTGGTAGGCAAGCACTACCACTAGGCTATATTCCTAGCCTATATTTTTCTTATCTTCTCTCTAATTTTATTCTCTTACATGGCAAATAACAATAATAATGTTGCTTTTTCTAGAGGGTTATAAGATACACATACACACACACATATACACACACATCTTCGATCAATGCCTGGGGTACATAAGTCTTATATAAGTTGTTGTTTCTGTTGCTGTTGTCTATATAACAAATATCTTCTTCTTACCATTCATTAGTCATCATTCTTCCTAAAGATGTTAATACAAAAAGGAAAAGTTAGGGCTGGGAAGGTGGCTCAGTGGTAGAGCACTTGCCTTGCATGCCTGAGGCCCTGGGTTCGATTCCTCAGCACCACATAAGCAAAAAAAAGAAAAAAGCCAGAAGTTGCATTGTGGCTCAAGTTGTAGAGCTCTAGCCTTGAGCTGAGGAGCTGAGGGACAGTGCCCAGGCCCAGAGTTCAGGTACCACAACCGGACCCCCCAAAAAAAAGAAAAGAAAGAAAGAAAGAAAAGTTAGATAGTATATAATGAATGGAACAGGCTTAAATGATCTTTTTATTTATCTTTAAATAGTTGTGCAAAGGAGTTGCTATTTAACAAAGAAGTTTATGAATACAGTATCTGTTTTAGATAAGTCTGAAGTGAAATAAAAATATTTAAAATTTTCTGTGAAAATTAACCCTCATTCAGATGGGTTATCCTCTGAGAATTCTACTTGATTCTCTATGTCAACTTCCTGATCTTCTATAGTCCCTAAGTCTAGTATTTAGTTTTAGGACATATACCATTATGGTAATTTTATGTTCCTTCCTTCTTTCTTAACTAGAACTGATGCTGCCAATTGATAGTGAAAAACTGTTCATCCTTTGTCCTCAACAGCCATGTGAACAATGACTCACACCAAATAATGACTTGATAAATCACCACAAGTATAGTTCCATCACATTCCTTTGGGATGGTGGCCAGTGAAGGATCTGTACAGTTGGAGAACTCAAAATAGGCTTCCTACTGTAAAACAGGAGCCTTTGAAGCTCATGTTTCTCACTAATACTCACCTCTCCTTTAGTGCAGACTGCCTGGTCCTGTTATTATCTACTGTGGCTCATTGTTTACAAGGCTCTTATAGAAAAAGGATGGATCACAGATGAGAGAATTTCTGCTCCAGCAGCAGGGAGATTTGAGAGTAAAAGATCTTTACAGTAAAACAGGTTTTTCTCATAGGGAGGGGAGGGGATGGTAGTGGAGGAGAGGGGAGATGAAGAGAGAAGAGCCTTGATGGTTCATATATGTAATCCTAGGTACTCAGGAAGCTAAGGCTTAGATAGAAGGGTCATGGGACCCTTTCTGAAAATTAATCAGACAAGAAACAGGGCTGAGGCATGGTTCAAGTAATAGAGCATCAGTCTAGTAAGAGGATCTGAGTTTAAACCCCAATACTGCCAAAACAGAAAGGAAGAAAGAAAAAGAAAGTAAGGAAGGGAAAGAGAAAGGATTGGTGAACCTAAAATTAATGTTATATTTGATCAAACTTCATTATTCAAGAAGCTGATTGCTAGTTTCTACCACTTAATGCCAATTTTGAAATATGGGTATCTTGCAGAACACTGCTGTTTCTAATAGGATCTTCCTCTATCTGTTTCAGTATTTCCCTCCCTTAGATTTTGGTATGGTCCCATCTATATTCCCCTACTAGTCTCCCAGGCAAAAAGATGGAATGCAACTTTCTTCATAGTCTATCAGGGCTATTTAGTCTATTTTTAAAAAGTGACAGGGGCTGGGAAGATGGCTCAGTGGTAGAGTGCTTGCCTTGCATGCATGAGGCCCTGGGTTCAATTCCTTAGCACCACATAAACAAAAAGAAAAAAGCCAGAAGTGGCACTGTGGCTCACGTGGTAGAGTGCTAGCCTTGAGCTGAAGAGCTGAGGGACAGCGCCCAGTCCCAGAGTTCAGGCCCCACGACCGGACCCCCCCCTCAAAAAAAATGACAACCGGACACCGGTGGCTCACGCCTCTAATCCTAGTTACTCAAGAGGCTGAGATCTGTGGATTGCAGTTCAAAGCCAGCCCTGGCAAGCCCGTGAGACTCTTATCTCCAATTAACTACCAGAAAACCAGAAAGTAGCACTGTGGTTCAAGTGGTAGAGTGCTTGCCTTGAGTTGAAGAGGTCAGGGGCAGTGCCTAAACCCAGAGTTCAAGCCCCACAACTGACAAAAAAACAATAGTGGCAGAAGAGATTATTTGTCCATCCACCTTATTTACTTCTGCAATCCTCAAACTTCTACATCTGAAGAGTTTGCAAATATGAACCAGTTCTTCAGAATGTCTCACATTTATTTTTGCCACCTTCCACCTTACTTTAACTGAGTAATTTAATTCCATTTTAAAAAGGGTGAGAGAGGGGGGAATAAAAAGAAAACTTTTCTAGTTACACAGATCACTCCAATTGTTTGGCACTCCAGAATGAATTTTTAAACTTGTTGAACAGAAGCATACAAATCTCCAAGAGCAAGTCAGATAAAGTACAATGCCTCCATTCATTGTGTAGGCAGAAAGGAATGCTGGTACCCGGCAGCTCTCTATGGAATGTTCCTTTGGCTTTGACTGTTCTTCTGGGAACAAGGAGGGAAACACATATATAAAATGAATTTATAATGTCTCTGGCTTGTAATGGCAAAATGATAAGAAAAGTTGGCTGTTTAATATAAACTGTCAGTTGCATATTCCAGGCCTCCTCTCTTTGAGGTCCCTCCCACAGCCACACGTCTGTCTACTGTGGAGCAGAAGTACAAAGTGGCCGTTTATTATTATTGACTGGCGAGGCCTCTGCTCAAAAACTCATTCTGTCAACAGAATGTAAGCAAAGTTGGCATTTTAAAGCGGGCCTCTTTTAGTTTCTGCGTTTTCTCAGGTTTGCTATGCAACAAGATCAGTGCTGTAGTCCCCGGTTCAAGCTGAGAATGTTACACAGGAAGACATACCATGTAAAGGTCAGATTCTTCTATTATAATCACTTTCTTGATCTGTGTCTATACCAATTAAATTGAATGCGTACTTCTTATCATCACTTTTAGAAAGTGCTATGGTCTTTCCAACTGTCTGTACTAAAAATACGATGGTATTTTAAATGAGAACTCTTACTAACAAAGGAAGGATGCTGTGATATATGTATGGTGCTGTAGCATCAAGGCAAACTTAATGTATGCTGTCAAGAAGATTTGCCCCTCTGACAGACTCCATTAATGTACTGATGCTATGGACCAAGTACAACCTTGAGTGTTCATTTCTCCATGCTTTCATGAACAGAGTCAACACTACAGATTACTATAGCTATGGAAAGTATGACTTGCCTTTTAATGTAAGAAAATGATTGGCACTATGATGTTGTTAACCAAGAATATAATTGATTTCGTCACATTTTCATAAAAGAATATATTCAATCCATGGACTAGAAGATGGAGAAAATTGGAAAAGTTGCAAATGTATTACTTTCCCATTTTTCATGCAACTAGTAAGGTGTTCTTTTTAATCTATATAACAGAGATTACTACACTAGAAAAGTGATTTGGGATGTGTATTTGTGTTGGCTAGCATGATCAGACTGTTCTTTGAAGTCATCATTTATTTATTTATGTTTTTGTAGTTCTGAAAATTCACATTCACAGCAGGTTTCTTTCCCTTGATAATTCTGTATATTCTTCTTCCTCTTGTTCTGTAGGATCTCCAAGGAGAAATTGAAGCTCACACAGATATCTATCATAACCTGGATGAAAATGGCCAAAAAATCCTGAGATCCTTAGAAGGTTCTGATGAAGCAGTCCTGTTACAAAGACGTTTGGATAACATGAACTTCAAGTGGAGTGAGCTTCGGAAAAAGTCTCTCAACATTAGGTAAGAAAAGTTTGGGGAAAAAGAAAGCAAGAAATGAATTAAAATGACAAAATTTTCCTTGTTTTCCTGGCATATGTAGCTAATATTCACATGTTTATGTAAATTACCCAATTTTAGAATGATTCATTTTATTTTGAATAAATGAATCATTCATTTGCTTGCAATGGAGATGATACTCGAGGGCTCAGGTTAGATTAAAATGGTGATGTTTTGGAACCACAGGAGAGATGCATATTAAGACATTAGAGTGAATGTAAATGAAGAAAGCAGCTATCCTAATTTTCAGTGTTCTCTCTTGGCTTATCAGAGGATTCTACAAAAAATGATAAAATTAATGGATGTTTATTGTGGAATTCTTTCGTTGGCATTATTATAAATTCATACCAGAGGATATTCTTTAAAAAGTGGAACACATTTTAATTAACAGTTTAGACAAACTGTCTCCACACTTCCTGTATCTAGAGAGAATAGAGCAACTATTTTGTCTTTTGATTCCTCTTAGATTTAAAAAAAAAAAAACTTCCTTGATAGAATAAGCTTTTAGCAGGGCTTAGGTCACCTGCTTTCTCTACCTTGTCCCATTCTACGACCAAGTTTGTTTTAAAAAATAAGTGGGTGTATCTCAGCATCTTTGTTAAGGATGGCAGGGCATACTTTTGTGATTCTGGTTTTGCTGGGATAGTTTGGTAAAGAAACAAAAGAGCAGAGCTTGTCTATGAAGTGCCCACTGCTACCTAGAGGATCTAAGAAGTGTTAGGAGTGGAAGCCAAGCTTCTTGCTTTGTAACCCATTGTTTTCCTGACCCGTTTTTAAAAATATTGTGTCTTCATCTCTGTGTGTAAAAGAGTGGCTGTGTAGAGAGATAAGAAAGGACAAGCTAATGAGCTTAGTAATAGTTATGAAGGAATTTACTAAAGAGTGAGGATGGCCATTACCTCAAGTTAGTAAGATTATAGAACGAGTTTTCTCTCTTCTTAATAGATCTCCTAAACTGCCCACAATTTCCTCCTATAAGAAGGAACCTCCCTGGCATTTTGTTAATTAAAAGTACTGTTATGTAAAATCTGTACTAATCTGTATCAATACTATTGACAGAAACAAACACAAGTGGTATGTACATACCATACAATGACACATGTCCTGAGCAAACAGAAAAGTAGATTCCTTGATAATACTGTCTCAGGTGTTTTTTTTTTTAAGAAAATGAGGCACAGAGGGTTAAACAATTTTCCCAAGGTCATCTAATTAGCCAAGATCTAAACACAGGAAATGTCATTCCAAGCCTCTGAGCTTTTATTTATTAACTTGGTCCATAGAGTATAAAGAAAAGAACTTTCACAAATAGATGCATAATCATTGAAAGGATAAAATAGAGATTTTTTAAGTTGGAAAGGATTTATTTTTATTTGTAAGGTTCCCCTCCTCCCCTACATTTTCACTCCTAATTCCCAGACATTCATTCTTATTTTCCTGTTCTGAGCATGAATTCATTTATCAATGTACTGGTGATGAGCAGGGGACAAATATTGGGCAAGAGCATTTTTAGAGATAGGGAGGTTCCATTAATTTCTTATAGCTTAAACTCTTGAGAGGTCAAGGTATGTAATGACAAAGGCCACTTTCATAACATCATTCATTAAAAAGAAATGAAACGTGAGATATAATAGATATTGAAAGGTAAAAGAAAAGAAAGTTATTCTTTGTTTTTGCAGGAAAGAAAAAAGGTGATGTAACTATTCAGAACATCACTCAGTGCTTTTTCTCCCCTTCATGTGAACTTGATGAAATAAAAGGAGAAATGAAAGTGGCAAACAGCATGTCAGCCAAAATACTGGCTCTTCATTCTCAGCAATTTCCCATATGCCAGCTACTGCAGTTTAATTCTTGCTGTCATTAATCAAGTTGAAAAGTTAGCTTATCTAAGGTGCTGCAAATTCTAGAATTTAAATACTCAGATCAATGGCATTGTCTTTTAAATAGGCCTTTAATAATATAGGATGAATTATAAGGACTCACTTATAAGTAAGTAAGTCTTCAAATCAGATCAGTTTAGTTTATTTCCTGACACTTGATTGAAATGACAGTATCACTTAATCCATAGTGAAAGGCAGCATTCAGTTGAGAGAAGCACAATAGGGGTAGTAATTTGGGATGACTGTGAAATAGGATACAACAGCGGGCAGAGTGAGATACAGAACCCTTAGTGGCACTAGCAAGCCTGCACTGTGAATCTCCTCATGATTCTCTTTGGGGGTTATTTGATTTTTAAAAGTGACAAATAAAAAACAATTCCAAATATACCCCAGAAATGCCATGTCCAAATTATAGTGTGTGTGTGTGTGTGTGTGTGTGTGTGTGTGTGTGTGTGTGTGTGTGTGTGTGTGTGTGTGTGTGTATGCTGCTACTGGGGCCCAAACTCAGGGCCTGGGCACTGTCACTTATCTTTTTAAACTAAGACTGGCTTGGAACGAAGACTCTCACAAACTTTCCTGCCCAGGCTGGATGCAATCTTGAGATCTCAGCCTTCTGGAATAGCTAGGATTATAGAAGTGAGCCATGTGAGCCTGGCAAAATTATAGCGTACTTTATTTTTTTAAATTACAGTTAATTCAGCTGAGCACTGGTGGCTCATATCTGTAATACTAGCTTTTCAGGAGGCTGAGCTCTGAGGATTGCAGTTTGAAGCCAGTGCAGGCAGGATAGTCCATGAAAATCTTCAATTGATCACTAAAAAGCCAGAAGTGAGGTTTTGGCTCAAGGATTAGAGCACTACTCTTGAGCAAAATAGCTCAACAAATGCACCCAGGCCCTAAGTTCAAGCCCCAGAAACAGCCCCTCAATTAGTTCATTATTGTATGAAGAACTCTGAAACCATTTATATATCTCAAAAAAGGAAAAGCACCACAACCAAAAAAACTTTCAATAATTTTATGAGTACCCTATATAGTACTGTTTTTATAATGCTCCTTCATTTGCTAACTCACCAGATAATTCATGAATGCCTACTGTGCACCAGGTAGTCCTCTAGGCATGAAGATGCAAACAAGAACCAAGTATATATAGTGCACAAAAAAGCAAGCACTTCTCTCATGAAGTTAGATTTAGCTAAAAGAATCTAGGGGACCCATTATCTGCCAGTATGTCTAATAATTCCTTGCTCATCCTTTCCCTTCATTTTTCCTTTGCTCCCAGTTCCTTTCTTACCAAGTAGCAACTCTAGCAATTCTAGTTCTCACCCATTCTCTGAACCAAGTAGATTTTAATTTCTAACCTTATTCTTGCTTTCCAGAAATTTCCTGTCTCATATAAGCATGCATATGTTAGTTCTCACACTTATAACATAAGCTCTTCTATCATCTTCTAATTTTTATGTAAAAAAATATCCATATGAATATTTTTCTCCTCTGGCTGTTCTGTCACAATCTCTTTTCAGTATTATTCGAATGTATACTTGCAGTGCTGGGGGTATAGCTCAGAGATAGAGTCCTTGCCTAACATGCCCTGGGTTCAATCCTCTAGATGTTCAATCCAAGAAAGAGAAAGAGAGAGAGAGAGAGAGAGAGAGAGAGAGAGAGAGAGAGAGAGAATTATAGATACAGATATTCACTTGGTAATAAGTTTCTTTAAATATTCATGAGTTGTTTAATATGGCTATATTTACTGCCTCCAGCTAAATTCTAAACTCAAAATGTAGAAAAGAAAGAGTCCCAAGCCAGTGGTTAGTCTCTCTTCTGGCCCTCGTCTACCTATCATAAAACTTGAGTAAATCTCTTACCTGATTCACACTTCAGTTCTGTCCCTCACTAAAAGAAGAGATTTGTCCTGAAACATAGGGTGTTCTCTTGAAAGTTTATAATTCTCTTGTTTTTTTTTTAATTCTTCAATCATACTTTATGAACCAGCCAAATTAGTGAGGTTTTCTACCTGGGTTTTCTAATATTTTAATATAATTGATAAAAGGGAAGAAGAAAGAAAAACTAAAAGAACATCTTTCACAAAATAAAATGACTGCTTCAATTGAAATTCTACGGTGCTGTATCATAATTCAGTTCGAGAAAACTATATACTAACCCTTCTGTAGGCCTTATCACAATTTTTCTACAAGGAATAGGGAATAAAAGTAAAAAGTCAAGCAATAATTAAGTACCATCAAACAAAATGAAAGATTATTTCAAGTGGGAGAGAAATAAAGTGAATTTCTTTATTTACATATACAAATATACAAACACACACACACACACACACACACACACACACACAGAGTTATCCAGGATGGTAATTAGTCAAAGAAAGTTTTCATCATTCTGAAATATTTTATATTCACACCTTTGCATTTTTATTTTAAAATATTTATAACTTGAGAAATGTTAAAGGGAATTTTATATAAGCAATATGTACAAAGAGTTCAATTGTGTCTGTTACTAGATTTTTCCAGATTATTATACATTTTCAATTATGAGAATCACATATATCATAATTTCAACAAAGCTTACATTTTGTAAGTTTTTATACTTTACCAAACAACTTCTAAATATTATATAAAAGTAACACTTAGGAAATTATGAACATCAATTTGAGAAGTGAAGAACACCAACCTTACATAATCTACAATAGCAATATATTGCTTAGGGAGTACTTGTTATAAGCTGTTAAGAGTTTTCTATGGTGGAGAATGAAAATAGAACAAGACATAGTGACAGAGTCTTTCTAGTTTTTAGGGAAAAAAGTACACAACTTGGACATTGAATATCTTTGACCTTTCTCTCATTCTCTCACTTCTCTCAATATTAATTATGTTTGGAAATCAGAGTTTAAGTCCCATATGGAAGAAAAATGTTTACTTCTCTTTGAGATTAATTCTCTTTATTTAAAGCCCCACAGCTCCAACTTCTTTTTCTGTGGTTCTCTATTATTTCTGCATTTGGTATATGTTTGGGTGCTATTCTAGTTTATAAGGGCATGCAAGATATACAGGACTATATTATTCATTTTATAAAAGAAGTCAAGGTGAAAAATGAATTCAACTGAGCACATTTTGCTTTCAGAAGGTATGTCTTTCAAAGATACGTTTTATTAAGGACTTCAAAGTAGGCATCAACCAAATCACACTTGAAATATCTGTATCTAGAGAAATAACAATCAGTTTATCAGCTCCTATAATTCTTAGCATCTATGTCTCTAAAGAGTTCTTTAAAGACCAAGCAATATATCCCAACACACCTAAAGGCTGGGCATTTTATCTAAACCATATAAATTGTGCAAATTATCTACTTCTTAAGAATCCACACTTGCCTTGTTAAAAGCTAGGAGTACCTAAGCTCTTTTCTTCACCAATAAAGATTAATAGAAAAAGGATAGAAGCTATGTGTGCTTCGTCAAATGAACCTTTTTATTTGCTTTTGAGTTGGTAGAAGTAAATAGAGTATATTTCCCAATTAAAAGAAGCCATTTTTCTTAGTGATCCAGAACATTTGGCTAAAAGTCACTAAAATACGGGTTTCCTCAACTAAGCATGGCTTATAATTTCTACTTCCCACATCTAAATATGAAAAAGTCTTCACAACTTCTGTAGCAGTTCTATGTATCACTCTGAATTTTGGTTTTTACAATTTCAAAACAAGATGGTTGAACGATGATCTCTAAGTTTCTTGGCATCTCTAACAGCTCTTGATATGACAAAAAGTCATTCTATGCATGTGCGTGCATGCGCACACGCGCACACAGACACACACCATTTTCAGGAAGAGGCATTCTGAATATAACATGAGTAAATCACTTAGAAATATTTGATATCCACCCACAAAAATAAAAATAGGGCAACTTCTTCCAACAGACATATTAGAAATGAGTCTTGACAACATTTCATAAGCGTAACACAACCTTAGGACCGAGAAAATATTTTTTGAGTTCCTAGTATTTCTTTATATTTAGACTGCCTCTAAAATTACCACCAATAAAAAAAATCTACCTTTGCTCTATAGAGACAAACAACTAACACTGAGGCAAATATTGTGTGTGTGTGTGTGTGTGTGTGTGTGTGTGTGTGTGTATCTTTAAGTAGTTATACAAAGGAGTTGCCAACAAAGCAGTTTATTAATACAAGGCATATTGATAAATGTCTCCTTTCAGCCAGGCACTGAGGCTCACACCTATAATCCTAGCTATTTGGGGGGCTCAGATCTGAAGATTGCGGTTCAAAGCCAGCCCAGGCAGGAGAGTCCGAGAGACTCTTATCTCTACTTAATCATAGAAAATGCTAGAAGTGGAGCTGTGGCTCAAGTGGTAGCTCTCAGCAAAAAGGCTCCAGGACAGCTCCGAGTCCAAAATGTCCCCTTTTATTATTCAAGGGAAGTATTTTTTTTAAATCTTCCACAAATAGTGATCCTGGAGTTCATCTGCAGACTTCTGAAGGTTCTGGATGTGGCACCTGGGCCTTTCCATTTTAAACAAGCTATTGTGCTCAAGCAAAAGTTCTGCATGCACACTAAAGCTTGGGAACCACAGGATAACATGGAATACCTTTCAATTCCGTGTTTTAACCCAGGAACTATTCAATGACTTTCTCCTCTCAGGCCCTTGCCCACTTTCCTTTGCCTCAGGTTTGGTCCTCCTGTTACATCTTTTCTTTTACTCTTGTGCCTTCAGAGGAAAGGAATCGTTTGATATGGAGCTGAGATGATCAAACATTCTGAAACTTTATCTAACTCCATGCTTTAGGAACAACCTCCTCACCCAGAAACTGGAGAGAGCTTTCATCTCATGGTTCCAGGTCCTTCTGCTGTTGCTCTGTTAACTCTCTCGACTCTCCTCTGTCCCTGGCTTCTAACAGCATCCCTAGCTCACCCTATTAAGTTACTCTTAGATCCTTTAGAAATGAGTTCCCTAGGTCTCTGAGCTATTTGCTCTTAGGGGACACAAAAGAATTCATTGACCCGCTAATGATTAGTCAGCACCATTTAACCTAGAACTAGAGTTGTACACTTTCTTATATAAACAAAGCAGCAGTCTTTGGTCTTACGCTGGGCAGCCTGCCCTTCAGCATTTCCTGACTTAGACCTCTTCACCACAGGGAAGGTGCATTTTGCTATAACAAATAGGAGGTTGATCATTGGGCATCTTTGCATTCTCTCTTCCCTTCCAAATCTTATTACCCAAGGACTCACTGGAACTTACAGACACTCAATAAATATTTGTTTAATCATTGTCTCTTTTACCTTGTCTGGACTTTCCTTCTCACTGCCTATGGTTCAAAATATGCTGCTTTACAGTCTCTTTTGCCCTCAAGGGGAACCAAGCTGTGATTTCCAGAAACCTCAGGGGATCCTTTTAACCAGTACTCATTGCATGCCCTTAAATAGCCAAAATCTTGCATAGGGACTTCTCACTTAAGCTTATTATGGAAGCCTGATAATGGAAGAAGAGGAGGAAACAGAAACATCAAAGAACTGACCACCACACTGTACGTATTCTGAACTTAGTTTTGAACAATTTAATTCCCTCTCTTACCTGATATGGAAAAGCCTTCATTTTATTTTATTTTTATGGTACTTGAGTTTGAACTCAGGGCTGCATACCTGCTAGGCAGGCACTGTATCACTTGAGCTACATCCCAAGCCCCTTTATACTTTATTTTTCAGATCTCATGTATTTTGTACGGGGCTAGCCGTGGATCGCAATCCTATTACCTGCTCTGGAATAGTTGAGCTTGCAAGTATACCACACATTAACTCTTCCTCTAGATTGGGCTCAAGATATGATCTTCCCAATCTCTGCCTCCTGAGTATCTAGGATTATAAGTATAGGTTATAATAGCCACCAAGCCCTTAATTTTTTCCTAGTATAATGTTCATATTAAACATTGTAGAAAGAAAATTCTGACAGTTTGGAAAAGGACAAAGATGAAAGAAAAGAATACTTGCAAATCTACCTCTGAGGGACAATCTGACTGTCATTCTAGAATTTTTTTCATACATATTCAAGCAAATGCACACAAATACATACACATACACAAACAAAATTGAGAAAATAAATAATATTTCTTTTTTATATCCTTACTTTTCTATGTCCATAAATATTCACCTATGCCCTCACACTGAATATTGCATAGAATTTCATTGTATAAATTCACCATTATCTATGCAACCAATTCCCCAGTATTAAATACTTAAATCATTTTTACTTTATACCAAGCATAAATAATACTATAACATTTTGTACCTATTTCTTTTATGCTTTCCTAGCAACTTTCTTATTATTCCTCAAATGTAAGATTGTGAGTCATTGCATTTGCAATGCATTTGCACATTTTAAGGGCTTTTATGTATCATCAGATTATCTTGCAGAAAGTTTGGGACAATTTAATTTCAGTAATAAGTACTCTTCGGTGGTTCTATCTAAGGCCAGAAGGAGAATTGTATTTGAAGTATCAGGATAAGTTACCAAGAAGCAAAAGGAAAGGTTGCTCTACCTGGCTGCAGTGCTTTCTATTTCTATCTTTACAGCATTTGAGACTTTGTTATATTTATATTATAGGCAGCATTAATTTTTATGAATTAATTATTCCTTGTGGATGATATGCGAATGATGAACCATAATTCCAGATTTACCTGAAGATAAAGCTTTGCAGTCTCCCTGCCTTTCCATTTTGTTTTCTGGATGATGATTTATTTTATTAATTTAGCTTCTCATCTTCAAGTGAATTATGGATTTTATAGCCCAGATCATTCATTTGTATACTTTAAAATGGCATCTTAGAATTAACATGTTCTAAATACATTTGATAGTGAAATGCTTGGTCTTCTGTCTAAATTATTCATGTTTGGTGGAAGCTTTCAGACAAATGTCTGTTTTTTCTCTTCTGTGTGAGTTGTTTGAGTACATTTTACACAATGGAAACAAAAGGGAAAGTGTTAGAACTTCATGACAAGCCCCAGGTGCACAAGAGTTTTTGTTTTGTTGGGGTTTTTTTGTTTTCTGTTTTTTTTAAAGGTGCCAGTGGCTCACACCTGTAGTCCTAGCTACTCAAGAGAATGAGACCTGGAGAGTTGTGCTTCAAAGCCAGGTGGGGTAGAAAAATCCAGAAGTCTTAATCTCTATTTGATCAGCAAAAGAAAGCCAGGCTAGAAGCATGAATCAAAATGTAGAGCGCCAGCCTTGAGCAAATAAGCTGTTCATGCATAAGACCTTGAGTTCAAGCTCCTGAAGGAGAAGCATAAAAAAGAGTAGCAGGAAGGAATGAACACTAGGCAGAAGGACTCAGTGGAAAAGACTGCCTTGGGTATAGAGATGAAAAAGGTAAAATATGGGGAAAGGCTTTTCTGTTTCTGAAAGCAGATCCCAGGACTAGCAGGCATCACATGATTTTTATTACTTAAGGTCCAGTTTTGTCAACCACAAACATTAAGAGTGATGGATTACAACAGGAAGTGAATACAATGGAATCCAATGCATTCATCATGCCTGAAGTCTGAGAATTCTGCATGAGGAAAGGAACATAGAACTGAACCCTGTCTTTCCTCAAAATTGCCATTAAAATATCACCACCTCATTTTATAGCTCTCAGAAGGTTGTCAGAGAGAAGCACCTATAACCTCAGCTCAGGGAGCTGAGATCTAGAGATCACAATTCTAAGCCAGCCTAGGAAGGAAAATCCATGAGTATTTTATTTCTAATTAACCAGGTGTGTGTCTCAAATGGTAGATCACCCTAAGGCACAGTGGTTTATGCACCAGGAAAATAACCACCTGGTATAATGAGATTACTAGGACCTTCAGTTATACTTTCAAATGTTCTGACAGTTTTCTCCTGTTTTTTTTCGGTTGTTTGGTTTTGTTTGGTTTTTAGGTCTCATTTGGAAGCCAGTTCTGACCAGTGGAAGCGACTGCATCTTTCTCTCCAGGAACTTCTGGTGTGGCTACAGCTGAAAGATGATGAATTAAACCGGCAAGCACCTATTGGGGGCGATTTTCCAACAGTCCAAAAACGGAATGATTTACACAGGGTAGGACATGTTTAAGCTTACTTCCTTTACCATAGTAAGCAGTAAGTGACTATAATTCATCTTGTTGGGAATTAAGTCAAATAGAAATTTGTTTCGCTTCTCTCATCCAAGGGTCAATTATAAATAATCCAAGCCATTCTATTTTAAATGTCAAAAACATCTACGCTATTAATGCCCTTTAGGAAGTCTCCCAACTCTTGCCTATTTTTAAAATCTTTTCATACTGGAAAATGCTGAGCATTTATAAAAGTAGATAGAATGCTACAACACTCATGTACTTATTAGACCATTAACAATCATCAATTCATGGTCAGTCTTATTCCTTCTTTACTTCCATTCCTTGCCCCATTATTTTGAAGCAGATTTCAGGCATATGTCATTTTATCCCTAAATGTTTCAGGAAATAGCTTGAAAGCAGAAAGGTTTGCTTTTTATAATAATCACTGTGCTGCTATAATACTTTAAAATCATTGGATGAGGCATGAGAGTTCATTGCTATGAATCTAGCTACTGAGGAGGCAGAGACTGGGAAGATCACAGTTTGAGAAATTAGCAAGGCCCAATCTCCACCAATAAGAGAGGTCCAGTGTGGTGTACACCTCTCATCCTGGCTAAGTAAGAGGCACAAAGTGTAGGATTGATGTCCAGGCTGATACATGTGAAAACAAAAGACCTTACTTGAAAAAGAATGAAAGCATATAGGCCTGAATAATAGAGCACCTACCTAGCAAGTATAAGGCTCTGAGTTCAAACTCCAATTCCTCCAAGAATAGTATCGATAACAATTATATCAAATAAGTTGGTATTCAAATTTTCATTTCTTTCATGCAGTCTTTTTTTCAGTTTTTAGCTTTTGTTTTAAGTAAGAATTATAGTGAAATCCACATGTTGCACTTGGTTCATTTATTTTTTTCCAGCTCCTCCTTTTTACATCATTTGTACAGGATAGACAAGATAAATATTTCTACTTTACCAATTTTCAGAATAGTGAATTGGTCATTAGCATACTCCAGCAGGGACCAATTGTTTCTTTTCTTTTGATTTTAGTTATATTTCTGTCTTCTCTACTAGGCTCTGAAAGGGGAAGACAGAGATTTGGTCTTGTTCATTTCTGAGACCCTACAGCCTAGTAAACTATCTATCTGATGTATAGTAACAATTACATAGTTTTGATTTTCATAGTATTGGAATTTGATGCCACTGTGCCATGCTTCCTGTCCTGTTGTTCACTTGTTATTTTTAGGATAAGGTTTTGTTTCCTTCCTAAGTGTGTACCTGAGCCTTGATCTTCTTAATTTAGGCTTCAGATAGTTTCTGGAATCACAAGTGTGTGCCACTATAGTGAGATTACAACCAATGAGGAGTCTAATGGATTTTTTTTTGCATGGGCTAGCCTCATTCCAACATCCTTTTGTTTTCAACCTCCCAAGTAGTTAGAATTACAATTCTGAGCCAATGGTGTCTGGCCTGATAACTACTTTTGGAATAAATATAAAAGACAAAGAAAACCAAGTACATTAATAGCATATACTAAAAACTTGATAAAGCAGTACCACTATGCATAGTTTAACCTCAAAGGAAAATTCTCTAGAGAGACACAGTAAAAGGTAGCATGTTGTGGGTTAAGTGTTTGTATATTTCAGAGAAGAGGATATAGGAGACTACATAGTAGAAATAAAATGTGAAGGAAGACCCAGAAATCTTTGCAAAAGAATGTCAAGAAAACTGCCTGCTTTCCCTTTAGCCATTTCCCTTTATATAACTCAATATTATGTTAGCTATTGTAGTAGGGTAAAATATAATAGTGATATATTCTTATGATGTCCTAACTTTGAATATATAGTCAAAATACTGATTCATATATAGAAGAACATTTGTTGAAAAGGATAGACATTTTAAATGGAATACTTCATATGAGATAATAAAATAAGAGTGGATTTCTACAAAAATACACAATTTTTCTTCTGGCTTGAGAAACCAATAAAAATGAATCACTGCCCAAGTACACTAAAAATCAGGAGATTTAAATTGTGATTACTACTGAAAGGTAAGATAATTAGTCCACATAATTGCCACTACCTTTTACCCAGCTTATTGTTATAGATACTCCTTCTCTATGTGCATTTATTGGCTTTAGTGTCTTGTAAAATGTACTTCTCAGTATTCTCTCCAGAATCTTAAGAAAGTCATGTGATGAAGATGGAGACACTGGAGTTAGGATTAACATGAAACAGGGTTAAGTTAATTTCGCCACTCTTGATAAGTGTGCTCACTCAGATACCTGCCTGTTATTTTCTTGGACCAAACCAAAGTTCCAGAGCATTGATAATTCTTTGTATTTATGAGTTCATCTATTCCTTCATCTTTGCCTCCCTTCAGGTACAACTTACATTTACTCATCAGATGTTTTAATAACTCATTCCAAAGCTCTAAAAATCTTTGACTTTTTAAAACTTGGATAATCAGTATTTTTCCTTGCAGATACCAACAGAGCAAACTGGTATTTTTTCATGATCACCAATCTATAGAGGTCCATTGCCACTACACTTCTGCATTTACTACAAAACTATTTCTCAATTTTGTCTACTGCTATCAGCATAGTTACAAATAGCTTCTCTTAAACCTTTCTAGATCTGCTCTGGCTACCCTCCAATGCAATCACTACTTTTCACTCAAGTAGAAGCTATGTAAAAATACAAATTGAATTATGTCTTTGCTAGCTTTACACTCTAACGGCTTCTCAATGCTCTTGGAAAAAGACCAACAATCTCAGTAAGGGTAATAAGGCTTTATGTGATTTTTTTTTTCTTTCCTTACAGCCACACTCTCTTCTGGTCTTTTTTTTCTTTTTTAATCCACTATATTCCTCTCAAATGAGGCTTTAAGCATACTGCTCCTCTGTCTTGTACAGTCTTGTACATTTTAGTTCAAACATCACACAAGCTTTTCCCTAATGCCTCCATGTGATCAGATCTCCACTTTTATAAACTCTTTTAATGCCATCTACTTTTCCTTCTATAACTTACTATGTTTTTTGAAAACCTGTGTATGTGCTCTGGGAAACTTTTTGTGAGAGAGCAAGGTGACATCTTTATACTTACTGCTTTATAAAGTACATGACAGACACAATGGATAGAGGAGAAAGGAAGAAAAGAGAACAGAAGGCTGAGGCAGGAAGATGAATTCCAGGCCAGCTTGCAAAACACAGGGAGACCTTGTCTCAAAAACAGTGGGGAAGGAGCACTTTGATAGGAGGAAGGAAGAAACAAAGCAACCAGTACACTTCTAAGAACCTTGTTTATTTCATAGTCTTTCAAGAACAAGAGCAAGGAAATAAAATTGTTCCCTCCTTAGAGAACTTTTCTGATTATTCTCAACTAAGCATCCTTTTGTAAAGTTATTTTGGTGCATGTTATTTTTGTCTATAGGTTGGTCCAAATGCTTTACTGAGCTTTTCTTGGTTATCTTTAAGAAATACTCTATCATAAAACAATCTCCTTCCTCAAAGCTCATCATTCCTGTTTATAAATGAAAGAATAGTCCAGCCCACTGACCTACTCGGTTTTGTTGTATTTATGCAGCAGCCTTTTTAGAGCTATAATACAAGTGCTGCATAAGTTAGTGACACATTTGTTGTCTGTGGGCAAAAGGAACAAAGAAAACTCCTTGAAACTGGATCTACATATTGGACCTTCTGAACTCAATTAGGAAGAGTGAAGTGAAGCACAATTGCCATTAAACACCATCAATATTCAGTCATTGACAGCTTTTGTGTTTTATTTTTATTAGGCCTTAGGTTTACTTTGTACTCTTTCTAAGATTATAGATTGTCTGGTTCTTTGTGAGGTTTGTTTTTTTTAATTTCATTGCTGTTTATGTAGAATGCTTGACATCAAGATGGGTCACTTGTAATCATAAACTACTTCCAATGTGTTTCATTGTCACTTCAAAAAAAATCATCTGTTTACTATCTGCCATAAATTAGTAAAGCCCTTAACTTCAACTTTATATGGAAACACATATTTTATAGACATATCCAAAATGGCAACTATAATAAATAGCATATTACAATTTTTTCTTTAATTTTTATGTAACACAGGATAGTTAAAAACAAGTCATTAACATTTTGTTTGCATATCATTTAAGATTGATGATAGAATTTTGAAGGATAATATGTCTTACAACATTTTTTTTTTGGTTAGTCGTGGGGCTTGAACTCTAGCCCTGGGCTCTCTCCCTCAGCTCTTCAGCTCAAGGTTAGTGCTCTACCCTTTGAGTCACAGTGCCACTTCCAGTTTTTTGGTGGTTTATTGGAGATAAGAGTCTCACGGACTTTCTTGCCCAGGCTGGTTTTGAACTGTGATCCTCAGTTCTAAGCCTCCTGAGTGGCTAGGATCACAGGCGTGAGCTACCGGCACCTGGCTATACACCATTTATTTATTTATTTATTTTTGTCTCTCAGTGCCTGGGCGCTGTCCCTCAGCTCTTCAGCTCAAGGCTAGCACTCTACCACTTGAGCCACAGTGCCACTTCCGGCTTTTTTCTTTTTGCTTATGTGGTGCCGAGGGATCGAACTCAGGGCCTCATACATGCTAGGCAAGCACTCTACCACTGAACCACCTTCCCAACCCCTATGCACCATTTTCTTAGAGTGAAAATATATAGTCAGTCTCAGTTGCTCTGATGGAGACGTAAATGCTTTTTCAGTAGGTAAATAATAAATACTCCATTCCTATATAGTCCACATAGGTAGTTGAGACTGTGGTCTCACTCCTCAATGCAATTGCCCCACCCATGGAAGTAGATATATGTTTCCCAAACCAGCTGGACAATATAACAGCTACAAGATAATGGCTCTCAAGACTAATTAATAAAATAACACTCTGTATGTGTTGAAGTGTTATAAATAATTAAAGCTCAAATGTGCCTTAGCAAATATAAACTGACCAATTTTTATATCTTTTGAATACATTATCCTGGCTTTTACAGTTCCTCATTAT